CAATTATATTTTTTGGTCAAAATGTTTTTAAAGACCATTGAAACCGGGCAATGATCAGATATTACAATATTATGGTAATTAGAATCAACAACTATGGGCATCAGCTCAGAGGATATCAGAAAATAATCAATTCTAGTATAGGTTTTATGAACATGAGAGAAAAATGAATAGGCTCTCTCAGTAGGGTGTTGTAAACGCCACATATCAATTAAATTTCTAGTTTTAATTAAATCATTCAAAGTCTGCACTGACCTAATATTGGAGGGGGCTTTTGTAGATAATCTATCCAAAAAAATGTCGAGAAAGCAGTTAAAATCACCACCAATAATAATGTTGGCGGTAACTGTCGGTATTAAGTTGAAAACATTCTTAAAAAAATCAGGATTATCCACATTTGGAGCATAAATGTTAAGCAAGGTTATCGGTATTGAATTAATTTGACCAGTGACTATAAGGTATCTGCCATATGGGTCAGCGATCACAGAGTCTGGACAAAATGAAATTTATTAGTATCATTAATATTAATTCATTTAAAAGCAAGCACTTTTTTATATAACGAGAGTGTGAAACCTTATCATCATGCCACAAAGATGTCACAAAACTAATCTAAATTCATACTGTAGATATTTTCCAAGACCAAATAAAATACAGATCAGAGTATTCCAATAAATAGTTGCTGTTTTTTTGCTATGGGTGGGCCTGCAGGAGTTTTGTGATCTCACATAATATCTGTTTCTAGTCCATTTTTCCAAGAAAACAAGGATGAAAGTACCTGTAATGCAGTTAAATAACTTACCCTTTTCTGCGTGTTGATCTCTGTCAGATAGCCTTGCAAGACTTTCTCAGGGTTTGGAATTGGTGGCCAAAAATACTGCTTGACTTTCCTATAAAAATGCACAAAAGAGAGGAAACATGTCCTTAAATCTTTTTATGTCATAAAATTTAGTTTAAAAAAACCCCTTATAAAAGAAAGGGAACATCTTGGTTTGGATTTTCTTATAGGTGATTAAAATTTTGAATGAGCTGTGAGAAAAATAAAATCTACCTGATGTGCAGGGCACACACGATGGTGCTGATGGTGGCTGTTATCAGTATAAATACTGGGATACACACGATGAGCAACACGCCTGAAAATGCAATGCATCCAAGTTTGAAATGTATCATATCTGTTTGTTCCCTTACAGCAACAAAGAACATCATTGTACTTAAAGATAACATTTCAAACTACTAAAAGTTAAATAAACTACTTGCTTCTAGTTCTTAGAAAGGAGTAATCTACTCATCTCTACCTAGTGATACTTTTTATTTTACTTTATGGTCAAGTTTGTATTTATTGAATTTTTGATCTTGCTGGAGGCTTACCTGTGTAACTGAGGGAGTCACGGGGGTTTTCACCAGTGAACACATTGGACCAGTCACTCCAGAAGCCAGAGTAAATTTGCCCAGCGGGTTTAGCTCTGACCCTGACTCTGTACTGGCTGCCTGCTGGAACCTCAACACATGCTTCTGTCTTAGGGCCCTTTACCATCTCTGGACGGAAATACTGAAACAGAAAGGGAACCAAATCACATTATTATATGATTAGAGTCTGTTATTTCCTTTGCATTCTTTGACAACACCTTTGAGATGTCTCTTAAAATGCACTCATGCATGTGATTTAATGGGCTGGCTGCACGTAAACTGAAAAAGTTCAACGCTGGCGCCATCTGGTGGAAAGATCAAGCAGCCTTCAGCAGCCATGACACTGCTTAGACCTAATATCATTGGTCCACAAACAGAAATATGTGCCATCATGATAATTCTAAATAGTTTTGAAAGGAATCTAAAGGGCAGGAAGGAAGATATATTCAATTCAAACATGGCCCTTGGATGTCAGTAAAGACAGCGCACACATACATAGCTACTTACCTTCCATCCTTCATATTCTTTCAGCTGGTGGTCAAATTCATACTGTAGGTAATTTGACAGTGACGGAAGAGGAGCGTCCCATTTCAAGCACAACTTATCTTTCTTGAGGATTCTTTTCAGATGAGTTGGTGGGGATGTTTTGACTGCAAAGAAAAACTCTTTCATAAGACCTTGTCTCAGGTTTGATCAGTGAAAAGGAAACACAAACCTAACTGAAAGTTTCCTTCAAGACATCCAGGCAAGCTTAAGAGCTAACAAACCTCTGCCTTTCCTCCAAATTGAGAGGTTAGTGAGGTAAACCAAGTCTGAACATGTTCACAACTGACCAGAGGACTGTTGTATATATTAATCACTTATATGACTGAAAGATCTGAGTAAATGTATGAGCATGTTCTTAGAAGCAAAACTTCAGCATACAAACTAAAATAGCAGTTAGTCATTCATGGCACAGTTGGTTAATAATGGGGACTTTTCTGAGCTGCTTCTTGATTTAAAAAAAAAAAAAAGCAATAATTTCAGTTTAAACACAGATCGCACATGCAAAATAACCAAGAATGATAGAAATAAAACAATTAAATGCCACTCACTGGAGTTGCTGAGTGTAAATGCTCCAGTGTAGAAAGTTCTCCTTTTTGGACCTGAGATGTTTGTGAGCTTGACCCTGACTTCCCTGGACTCTCCTCCATGGAAACAACACTGGTCAGTGATTTTCTCATCAGCCACACATTCAGTCCAACTCGTCCACCTCGAGGTCTTGCTACAAGAGTTGTAACAAAGTCAAATCACAGAAAATAAAAGTTTCATATACATTTCTGTTGAATTGACCTGTTCAAAACTCTGGATTAGTTTGAGTATTTTAGTGCTCAAACTGTGTGACAATAAGATGGAAGGATGCTTGGATGGATGCTTTTGTGCCACAACACAGGTGGATGGAAAAATGACCTGTGCGTAATAATTCATGAAGTGATGAACGAGTGTTTTGTGTTACCTGTGAAGGATTTGGTAAAAAAGTTCAAAGTTGTTTTTATCATATTTGCTCGAATTCCAGTGACAGGTGACATTTTTCAGGTCAGAGGTGAAGCATAAAAGTGCAGTGTCATCTGAAAAGCATGGAAAAGATCATTACTGAGCAACCAGGTGCTGTTCAATGGGTACCATTTTATTCTCTCTGTAATTCTCACTTGGTCGCACCTGCACTTTGGGGGACCACAGCTCGTGCAGGATCTGACCACCTGCTCCAAGGGCCATCAAAAGGTGAATCAGGTTTAATAGCGACTTGCACTTTAACCTCCTCGCCTTCTTTTAGAGAATCCAGTGTGTCCTCTTTCTTAGGTAGAAATCAAAAGCATCATCATAAAGGTATGTTTGAAAAAAGTAACCACAAAAATATAAGCTACAACGAGATGAGTCAGTCTCAGAAGGCAGAGCTCGGGAATCATTTGGTAATTCTGGCACTGGTTATCAGCAAACTGACAGTAAATGGAATTCTATATTTAGGCAGTCTTTAGACTGACTTTTATAACAACTAACCACCAAATGCATAACTTCAAACCTTCATAGACTTTGGGGAGCTGTATAAAAGTTCACATCCAATGCAGTTGTCATGAACAGCAGTTGAGCCGTAAACACTTGAAGAATTATAAAGATGGTCTTAACCCCAGGGTCTAGAAAGGGAAGCTGATTTGTGAAGCACCCTAAGGCTTCACAATGGGTGACTGATGAAAACACAATAGACTACTCAGTCTTTGTGGACTATGATGATTGCAGACAACATGATCTGTACCGAGAGCATGGAGCGGGTGGAAGAGATTCTGGAGACATGGAGGTATGCACTGGAGAGAAGAGGAATGAAAGTCAGTAGAAGCAAGAATGGACCAGAATGGACAAAATTAGAAATGAGCACATCAGAGGGACAGCTTAGGTTGAGCCGTTTGGAGATAAAGTTAGCGAGGCAAGGCTGAGATGGTTTGAACATGTGAAGAGGACGGACAGTGGATGTATCGGACAATTGAAGGTTAAGATGGAGCTGCAAGGCAGGAAGAAAAGAGGAAGACCACAGAGAAGATTTATGAAAGGAGGACATGCAGAGCGTTGGTGTGACAGAGGATGCTGGGTGTAGTGTCAGATGACAACAGATGATCTGCTGCAGCAACTCCTAAAGGGAACAGCCGAAAGACAAAGGAGAGCAGCTGTGTGTACCTCTAGATCTAACTCCTTGTAAAGGACCTCAGAGGAGTACTCAATTCTGTACTTCACTAGTACGTCTTTTATGTTTGAAGTCCATGAAGGATTCAGCTGTCCCACTTGGCCATTTGGGTGTAAAGACAGATTAACTGGTGGATCTAAAAGAACTAAAAGAAAAAACACTCGGGTTTAGGAGTTGGGGCTGGAACATCATCACAGAAGGAAGAACACAGTATTGGATTATAGATGAGAAGATGGTGGGAATAATTGACTAGTGCCTTGGCAAAGGTTGAGGTGGCCCCTGACTTTCTAGTTAACTGGTGATACCCACAATAAGTTAGCAATGCTATTTGTGCTTTCTTCTCTCTTTTTAATCAACATAGTTACTTCCTTGCAAATCATCCTAAAGCCTTCCCGTCCTTTAAACTAGGATTCAAGGATGCAAAACCTAAATTCCAGTTCACTCCAGCTTATTTTTGATCTAACCCATAACACTCAGCATCTATTCGTCACCTTTATCAAAAGATGAAAATGTTTTAAATTTTGTAATATACAGTATCTAAGTAAAGTTTCTTCAATACTCTTTATGTGATGAAAAATTCAGTTTTGAAAAGACAAGATGTCTTACCATGATCGTTCATAGAGACAGTCCGAGTGTAGATGGTGGCGTTTGTAAAGGATTCAGTGACTGTAAGGATGCAGTCAACAAACCACATAACTTCAGGAAAAGAGCAGATGTGCAGCAAAGTTCCCTTCTCTGTTCTCTGGACAGATAATTCACACCTCTGCGCTGGAGAGCTTGATTGGGATGAAAGAAAAAACAACAGGCAGGGCTGCTCATTAATGAGCTAATAAAACAGTTTTAAACATCTTGCCTTGTGGGTAAGAAGAAATGCAATACAGGCGACTATCGTGCATAAACCATTAAAATGGTCAATCAATAAAAAAACTAACTAACTAAGAACTTTCCTAAAAATGTAGTCAGTATACAGCAGAAGCGTGCACATAGAATAATAAATAAATATCAGTAGCATGCCAGAAGTATCAAAAGGTGTCTAAACACAATGCATAAATAGTATTTAATAGTTTTCATAATACAGAAACAGATGATCTGTGAATTGATGATCAGTAGATTCACAGTGTTTAACATACTCTATAGAGTAGAACAAATTATAAGTCCTGTTGTCTGCAGTCTCGAAGAAGCAGGTGAAATCCAATGTTGTCCGAGAGAAACACTTTGGATTAGGCTCATCCTTCAAGAGCAAAACATCTGCTCCAAAAATGACAAACACAATAAATGAAGAATATTGGAAATACAAAAAAAAAAAAAAAATAAAAGAAAAGAAAAAAAGACATTGTGGGCATTGCATTCAAGTTAACAAGGAGCCCAAAGTTCATATTAATGCCTTATGCCCCGCTAACAAAGAAACGTGCTCTGAGTATCTGTATTGCTCCCATTTTCACATTTTGGCAATAGTGTGTGGTTGCATAGTATCAGTTTATACTCCAGTGTTGATAAATAAACCATCCTTCAAGCCCTACCTTCCTCTGACAGATTACACTGTAATCCAGGCACAAAGAAAGCTTGTATCCACAGAATGTTAAGGAATATTCCCAATCTGTAGAGGAAATTCATCTTCAATTGAGGCGCTGTGAAAGTCTAAACCACCATGGCCATCAAATTAACACCGGTGCGGGCTTGTGTATATACATTGTGTACGCTGTTTCCTATGCATGGTTTTAAGTAGGCAAGGGTGGGTAAGGATTGAAGGGTTGTGCTTAAAACAGGAAGCAAGCTTTCTGTACAGCAGAAGTAGTCACCAAGAAGAGGCAGATGGACTGATTAGACGTAAATAAACAAAAAGGTTGCGGTGAAAGGCTAATCGCAGAGAACGTGACACCTCGGAAAATGTAGGAAGAACCCGAAGAACACAAATGAGGTTCTTCGGGTGCTTCAAATTCTTTGGTGACCACATTCAACAGATACTAATTCAGTCTGTCAATGTTTTCCTCCTACTGATGAACAGAGAAGCGAGGTTTTAACCTCTGAAAAAAAAAACCTTGCTAATTAACCGCTTCCTGACTTACTGCAGCATTGCAGAGCGCAGTGCACAGTTTTGAACTTCAAAAACATCTCAAAAAGTCCATGTTTACGTCTAAACTTCATCCTCCAGCTAACTTTGTTTAAATAATTTTTATTATTTGTCACGATGGAAATAAAAAAAAGAAAAATCTGGCTTTATCCACAAGAAAAAGTATGGATTATATTGTATAGTAGTATATACATTGTATAGTGATGCCTCTGATGTTTGCAACTGGAAAGCGCCGAAAGATCTTATTTAAAACTATATTAAAGGTTTTTTTGGGGGGCGGTTTGTTTGTTTTGCACAGACGTGTATAGAAAAGAAAATAATTTTCACCTTATGTCATTGGAACACAGTAATAATGAAACACGTGAGAGCAGAAAAGCAAACTTATCATTTGATGCGTGCTGACCACACCACAGATATGTCTGATATATCTCTGCTACCGTGAAATGAAAACCTTGAGTCTAACTAACTTGCTTTTCAGAGTTTCATTAGTTATAAGCCATAATCATCCAAATTAAAACAAAAAAGGTTTGGATTTTTTTTTTCATTTTATGTGTAATGAATAGAGAATATTTGAAAGTTTACCCTTTCCAGTTGAATTATTTAACAAAAAAAATCATAGACTATAATTTGAGATGCACTAATGGTATCCACATACTTGACTGTGTTATTAAGAAACTATTAACCTTGCGTAATGTTTGGTTATGGTTGATGCCATGCGATTTGCCAGCTACCAAAGTTGACCAATCTCTGAGAGGACTGGCTTTTTGTTTGTTTGTTTAGACACACCTGAGGCTGAGGACCTACCACAAAGATTGTCTGAACTGCAACTAAACACCAAAGCTTTGCTGTGGAGTTGTGTTTATTAGTAAACTTAATCAATATTTAGATAGTAGCAGAAATATTTTAATGTCCTGTTAAAAATATCTTTTCTCTGACATGAATTTTGCATGTTAGCTCTATTAAAAAAAAGCTTGTATGTGTTTATGTGTTTGAGAAATGCGGATTATGTGTGTGAAGGTATGTTGGAGAGCGCAGGAACAAAAGCCAAGGCTACGACTGAGACTAACGGAGATCCTGTTCAAGATATTTATCAGATTGTGAAAAGACAGGTTTTACATTTACACTCAACTGCTACTTCACGTGATGCATTTTGTTAGTACCTGGCTTGACTCCCTTTTTCCTTCAAATTTCTGCTCTGACCTCTGACATCAACAAGGGATTTTCATCCAGAAAACGGATGCTCAGTAAACCTCTGTAAACCCGAGACATAGCCATGCATGAAAATCCCTGTAGATCAGCAGTTTCTGTCATAGTCGGACCACCCTGTCTGGAACCAACAACCACGTCAAAGTCAGTTAAATTACCTTTCTCCTTCATTCTGATGCTCAGTTTAAACTTCTGTTGGCTTGACTGAATATAAAAAAGCTAACTTATGTTGTTGTTGTTTATTGTTAAGGTATGTATGAGCGACTGAGAAATAACAGGTTCTGACAGCTGGAGAGAATTTAAGACTATTTTCCTGTAGACTTCCTGTTATAAATGAATAGGTACTGCGTTGTATTCTGTGGCTTTTGTGGTGATTTTGAAAGTTTTGAATCCTTAGTTAATTTTGGGTTGCTTTTTATTTTTTCTTCTTCTCTGTGTTTAAGGTTTAGAGTTTTTTTTTTTTTTTACTGCTTGTTTATTCTAGGAAGGAGTTTTAGCTTTTTGATATTATGCTTTAAGGTTTCTGTCTGGATTCCTCCATGTTATTTTTGTAGCATGTTCCAGTGAGAGTTTCCTGTCTGCGTTTAGAAGGTATCTTTTTATTATCAGCACCTGTGTCTCAATTCCCCCACGTGTCTCCACTTCCCTATTCTGCAGAGCAGTCTGTCTACACTCAGTGGATTTTATACTTTCGACTCTGCATTCAACCTCAAGACAATAAATTATGCTCTTGCTTAACTTTTCGCATTCTTAAGTCGTCTTCGTCACTTTTAGGTCCTGTTACACTTACAGACACTGCCATTACAGTTGTAAACACTTCATTGTAAAGTTATAAATAAAAATACAAAAGAAGAAGAAAACAAAAAAAGTATTTTTGCTGATGTCTGTGTGCACCTCAAGGAAGAAAGGCTCATATATTTCTTGCCAGGTGTGTTACAGTCTTTTGCTGAGGTAATTACTTTATTTATCATTGAGATAATCCTTTGAGATACTCAAAACTGAAAAATGTGTAGAAGAAAGATGTAAAAAAAAGAAATACAGTTCCAGATATCTCATCCACATTATTAGAAAACATATTTCTAAAAATTGGAGTTTTATGTCATCCTCAAGTCAGTTTACCTTAAGGCAGACACTGAAGAATCAGGAAAACTGAATTAAGGGCTAAGAGTATATGAAAGCGCCACAGTAACATCAGATGCTTTAAATTCTTTTAGACATCCTCCATGTTAGTAATAAATTCAACACAAGGAATCAGTGTAAGCAAAATGTGAAAGAAACCTAGCATCAAATATGAAGCATGAGCACTGTAATCATTTAAACAATGGTCAAGTCTACCAACGGCAATGTTGTGGAGACCTTATATAGCCAAGTGTAGCAAGCTAATATCTCAGAGCAAATGACTAAGGAGCACAAATGAAGTATCCTGTAGCCACTGGACACTGACTATAATTACAGAAGGACCTGTTTCTGAGCACGGGCCAGGTGACTGCACTGATGCAATATAATGTCTCGTCTAATTGGTGCAAACGACTAGTGGTGAACCCAGAGAGCTAGTTAATGGCTGTTTTCACATGGATTCTAAGTATCTAGGAAAACAATATTGAACAAACTGAAAGCAAACTTGGTGAAGCTTTTGTGCACCAAAACATTTGAACAGCCTTCAAACTTGAAGGTGAAGAATCCTTATATACCTACTCATTTTTTTAAATGTATGCTGCAAAGCTATGATGGATACTATCTTTCTGAAAGAAATGATCAGTGTGGCCAACACAAAAGCCACAATCACAAAGTTTTTTTACAAGATGATAGAAAGATGTTTGTCCTCTAATTATGGTTGACTTTAGTAACGAAAATTGCAACACATCCCATTTTTGGCTGTGTCACAGATGACCGATCAGACAAATTTGTTGCACAAGGACATGCAAGGGGAAGGAAGAGGAAAATATGCATCACAACTATGACAATATAACAACCACAAATTTTAAGACACAGTTCAGTGAAAAACTCATGCATGTTGGGCAAAACACTAAAATACATAATTTACTGTAAAAAAAATTGCAGTGAAATACCTACAAAGATTTTTCCATTGGAAAGGAATACTGTTTAATATATGTACATATAGAGTGGCTTGCAAAAGTATTCGGCTCCCTTGAACTTTTCCACATTTTGTCACATTTTTGCAAGCCACTGTAAGCAAAAGCTGAAAAGAGAAGCTTCTAGTTTGTTGTTTAAAGCATCCTAAGCTCTTCAAAAAACATGTTACAAGTTGTAAACAATGTAAATGATGGACCCTATGCCTCTAGGACAAAGGGTAGGATGAGCTGTAAATGGGCCAATAAGAGCAAGTACTGCTAAGTAACAAAACTAATACTAGTACCTCTTCACCTAGATATGCCACTTTCACTCTAAGGAAAACCACAGAAGAGAAAGCAGTTGCGCTTTACTGGGATCTAAGAGCAATTTGTACAAAATGAGGTCAAAATAGGTCAGCAACAGCTGAAGTCCTTTCTACAATGCCAAATGGTGTCTTGGCCAATACAGTAAATAAATAAATACATTTGAGGTGTGTGAAAAAGGTTATGTGGAGTTAGTGTTAGTGTGACATTAGTGTGACTCAATAGTGAGTCCAGCACTTTTATTTTTAAGATCACAATCAAAGCGTATCCTTTCTGCTGACAGGTGTTAGCTATTAGTTGTTAGTTCAATTTACAAGTTGTTCGGAATTCTTGCAATTCTTGGTGTTGCCAGCAAAATCTTGGGAAGCTTGAGTAATGGAAATGGGTCAGTATTGTGGTTTACCACATGCAGTTAAAGAGTGGTGGATAGATTGGCCAGGAAAAGCTTGGAAAGCATGCTTATGTGGACTTGCATCACTTTGCGAGTGCAAGTTAGCTACCTGCTGCTGTGAAATGATGACGTCCACCGAGTTTATTGCACCTTTTCGAATGGATCCTTGAAGAAATTCAGAAATATAGTACAACAAAAAGAGCCATCTCAGTGGAGCATCACACAAACCGAATTGGAAAAGAAACAGAAAAGCCTTTAATAAGTTAACCGTTTGTTTCAGGATGGAGTCTTGCATGTGGGAGAACTCAGGTGAGCTGGCTTGGTAGTTGAGTCTTCTTCCCTGACATAAGCACCTTATCATTTTGACCAAACACCAAGATGTTTGCTAACTATCAAGAAGGCCAACAATTCAGTTCAGTTCAATTCAGTTTTATTTATATAGCACCAAATCACAACAACAGTTGCCTCAAGGCGATCAACATAATCACAAAATATTAATAAGCACACTGGTGACACAGGAAAGAATCAACAAAGAAGACTAATTTATACTGTACAAAAAATGGCTGGGTAGCTATAAACGTTTTAAGCTAACATTAGCACTCACACCACACTCCTCTCCACCAAAACTGGGCATAAAAACGTGTTTTTTTCTCTTCATAATCATGTAGCAGAACAGAAGCCAACCCAGAATGATAAAATATCTGCCCATTAAAGATTAAATCCTGGATTTCAACTGGTTCTTCCTGTTAAAAGGGAGTTTTTTGTTCCCACTGTCGCCAAAGTGCTTGCTCATAGGAAGTCATATGATTGTTGGGTTTTTTCTCTGTATGTATTATTGTAGGGTCTACCTTAGAATATAAAGCACCTTGAAGTGACTGTTGTTGTGATTTGAATTCAATTGAATTGAATTGAGAAATAATAACTATAATACAGCCAACTGTGCTGCTTAGCTTTGCTTGTTTCTATTGACAACTGCTTAGATGGACCAGATATCTAAAATACGCCTGTCAGCAAGTCAGGGGAGGTCCCATGTTTTTAAAAAGTCTGTTGCCGTGCTTTCTTTTTCAGTTACCTTTTTATAAAAACCCAGTTTAAGGTGAAACCTGCAGCTGGTTAACAAGTAAATATGTAATTTTTTTTTCAACACAGGCAAACTATTGGATAACAGAAGTAGCTGTAGACAACCTACGTTCAAAGGTCAGATTTTTGAGTAATATGGTATAAAAATAAATCTAGGGCCACTGCTGTTCCCTTGTTACACATGTGCCATAGTCAGGAAGCTGGCAGGCTTTTACGATGTTTGACAGTTCTGTGCTTGTGGTTGGTGTGTAAAGGAAACCCAGTGACAGATCAGCTCAGTGCAGGCAGCCAGTGTTCCTGAGTTCACTTTGGTCCCCAGTAGCCTGGCCTCTTCCCATCATCTTAACTATTAAAAGGGCCAGCACACCAAAATAATCACCTCTTTCTGAAGTTGAAAAAAAAGATCAGTCGCACAAAATTGAACTACGACAAAAGGAATTAAACTACTTGTGGCGATGAATCCAGTCACCACATAAAACCTTTATTAAGGAAACCAGTTAATGAACAGATACTGTACATACTCACAGAGTGGATTATCGTCAGTGTTACATTTTTATAATGTTAAAAAAAACTACAAAGGTTACTTCTCTGTATTACTTGTAGGCTTCCAAATAATTTCTCTTGCGATAGAAATTTGCATGCAACACATGAAATCCATCATGGTTTTTAAATCAGTCTATAACTCTGATTATATTCCTATAATAGGAGAGTTTGATCTATTAAAAATGAGGCAAGTATATACAGTTACATCCATATGGCAGTGATAGGCAAATAGTAAAAGCACAAAGATGACAGCGTAAAGCTACTTTTAAGTGCTACATTGGACATCTTTCCATCACAATTAATTGTCTTGACACTTGAGCGGCGTTGAGAACTTGTCGTGTCTTATTTGACAGCACTGTCTTTTTATTTTATTTTCTCTCCGTGAAAAGATGTTCTCCATTTTGAGAAATGGAGGGGAAAAGTCCAGCACGGACACCCCACAGACCCTGTGGTGTTTCAGCAAGTCACATAGCTCCATATCAGTGCTCAGAGAAAAACTTCCATCATTATAACTGCTGGAAAAGGAAAAGATGGAATGCTGTATATGTTTCTCTAAGACTTTTTGTCTTCTTTCCTTTTTTTGTGACAGGGGTTCATAGTTCCCACAAGGTTAGTAGCAGACACATCTATCCATCAAGGACCCAGCAGTACGCCTCTTCTCCTTACACCTGTAGTACTTCCAGACAGTGTCCTTTCACAGTCCTCCATCTATAGCTGGGTGGTTGAAGTAGAGCGCCTAGTCCTCCTGTCTTGACGCCTAGTTGGTGGGGGGTGGCAGTAACGTGGCAGCCTCCCTTGTGATTTTCTCTTGGAGCTTTGTGGCCTGCGAGGGTCTGGGGGGGCTGGTAGTCAGGCCTCCTCGGCTGTGGCATCAATCCCAGCATAGGTGAAGTTCTCAAAGAGAGCCATGTTCACATAAGCCTGAAAAACAGATTAAACCTCATGATTAAGAAAGTGAATGCAAGTGAAGTGTCTTACTACAACAACAACAAAAACCCTGTTTTAGCCCACATTTCTAGTTCTGTTTTTTATGCCCAAATAATAACAACAGGATGTTTTTCTCTATTCTTCCCTTTCTACCAACATAATGCAAATGAAGCCTTACCTTCCTGGCCTCCTGCATCCTGTTGAGCTGCAAAGAGATTTGGGAGAAGGGGGGTCTCTCATAGGGCCGATCTCTCCAGCACTGCCTCATTAGCTCATAACTGGAGACAAACATTAACACAGTGATAAATATGGTAAAACCCAGTGCCATAATGGGCTGTGTAATTTGATAATCACTAGCTATAAGATACAGACTACTTACACCTCATCATCACAGTTTTTGGGCTTCTCCATTCTGTAGCCTTGTGGCAGTTTTTCATAAAGCTCAGCACATGTCATCCCACAGTACGGTGTGCCACCTGAAGCACATACACACAGAACGTCATAGAACTTGAATAGGACAACGTGGGACGATGTGTAAAATGTCAATTAAAAACACTCTCACAGACCCGTATTTTATTCAGTATTGTCTCATTTTGAATTTGATGGCAACACCACATTTCAAAAATGTTTCAGGGATATATTTATGTATCACTGTGTAGCATCCCCGCTTCTTTAAACAAGAGTCTGTGCACTGAGTAGAGCAGCTTTCTGGCTTTTGGGAGAGGGATGTTGTCCCATTCTAGTCTGACATATGATTCTAGCTGCTCAACAGTCCTGGGTCTTCTTGGTCATTTTTTTTCTTGTCACGGTGCACCAAATATTTTGAATCGTTTAAAGGTCTGGACTGACGGCAGCTCAGTTCAGCACCCAAACTCTGTGCTGTTGTAATAGCTGCAGTATGCGGCTTAGGCTGAGCTTGCTGAAATATATAAGGTCTACCTTTAAAAAGATGCTGTCTGGATGAAGCATATGTTGATCTAAAACCTGTATACATCTTTAATTAATGACACCTTTCAAAATGTTTGAAGATCACAGGCATCCAGCACTGAGTTTTGACCTTGTCCACTGTACACAGAGATTTCTCCAGATTTCCTGAAGCTTTTGTCGATGTACTCTATTATGTACTGTAAATCAGCGGTCCCCAACCCCCAGGCCACGGACCAGTACCGGCCCGTGAGTCGTTTGGTACCGGGCTGCGAAAGTTGTGGCTCAGGTGTGAAATTTATGGTTTTCAGGGGTTTTATTGGTTTTTATCGTTTTTATCATTAACTCGGTTTCCCTGGGTTTTTTCCCGTGTGTTATAAATAAATCGTCTTCTTTTGTTACCAGTACTGGTTTTATATTGTTGTATTTATCCGCGACACCTTAGAGCATAGGTGTCAAACTCTGGCCCGCGGGCCAAATTTGGCCCGCAGCCTAATTACATTTGGCCCGCGAAGCCATACCAAATTACTATTAGAGCTGGCCTACTGGTATTATACAGCTAATATATATATTGTTTAGTATTAAGCTTTGCTTGTTCCATATTCAGTTTTTCAGCAAAACTTGTTTGAGTCCATAAGAAAAGATTCATTCTTATATCTGGAGGAAGATTTTTTTTTTCAATAAATATTAATGTTAGCCCGCGACTTTGTTCCAGTTTTGAATTTTGGCCCACTGTGTATTTGAGTTTGACACCCCTGCCTTAGAGGCTGGTGTGTGAAAATATTGTCAGACATAACCCGGTCCGTGGCGCAAAAAAGGTTGGGACTGCTGCTGTAGATTATACATGGTTCAAAGTCTTTGCAATTTTACACTGAGTGCATTATTCTGAGATTGTTCAACAATTTGTAGACACAGATATTTACATCTTTACTTCTAAGAAACTCTGTCTGTGTAAGGTCTTCTTTTTACACCCAGTCATGTTACAGTCATGTTGCTAATTAAACTAATTAGTTATAAAATATTCCTCCAGTCATGTCTTTGTAGTTCAACTCAAGTTCTAATATTTAATAAAATAGTAAAATGCTACAGCTTAAAAATGTTGATATTTGTTCTATATTCTACTGTGAATAAAAGATGAAATAAAATTTAAAATGACTGCCTTCTGCTTTTATTTAGATTTTACACAATGTCCCGACGTTTTTGCAATTGAGGTCGTAAAACGTTTTCTTGAAAAAATGGCTGCTGTAAAACTGCACATGTGACTTAAATAACATCACCTGAAGACAGAGGTCCTCAGCTTTGACAATCCCTGAATATGAAAACACATTATGAAACTTCTAAAGAATTCTGAGTCATAACATTGACGCAGACAGTAGCGGTTTTAGATACGGGCGACACGGGCGGTTGCCCGGGGCGGCATCACGGGCATCGGCAAAAAAAAAAAAAAAAAAAAAAATGCTCGTACTCATGCTGCCCCGACGTCAGCCAGCGCATATTGGGAATGGCATAGGCACCGATCGGTTTTCTGTCGCCCATTTGCTGGGAGTAAGGGCATCAGAATCAATCAGATTCAATCAGAATACTTTACTAATCCCTAAGGAAATTTTGTGGGTTACAGTTGCTCCAAGAAGAAATGGTAAAAAATAACAGTAACAGACTAAACTCCAAACAAACAAGAAGATGATTAAAAAGAACCAAAAAAAAATAAAGCAATAGAAGAACTGAAATATATAGAAGAAATAAAAGAAATTGAATAAAATAAAAATAAAAATATAGAATTGAAATAAATAAGTAAAAAGAAAAAGAGAAGAAAAATTAAATAGGAAAATATACATTACTAATTAGAAAAAAAAAAAAAGAACGGGAAATAAAGAAAAAATAGAAAAGAAGAGGAGGAGAAACGAGCAAAAGATACAGGTAAGCAGATGTGTCATTGGATAATGGCAGGTCATCCTAAAACAATTAGAATCAGAATACTTTATTAATCCCTAAGGAAATTATGTGGGTTACAGTTGCTCCAAGAAGAAATGGTAAAAAATAGCAACAGTAACAGACTAAACTCCAAACAATACATTATGTTACAGATTTATATTAATTAGTCATTGTCAATTGTTGATTTGTCCTGTTCTCATTGTATGACGAATTATGATGGCTGTTTGGTAGTTTGCATACTATGCATATCTCTCTCTCTCTTCATATGTGTGTGTGTGTACAACAGTTTTATGTTAATGTACAATCCTTAATATGTTTTGTGTGTGTGTGGGGGGGGGGGGGGGGGGCAGAGGGGGTGTTCGCCCAGGGCGCCAAACAGGCTAGGACTGCCACTGGACGCAGGTCTATAAGGGGAAGTGTACTGGTTTTGTACTGCCTTTTAAACAGTAACAAAGAGGAAGCATAAACATTATAGTATAAATACAATTGATTATGACTGCAAACTTTATTGTTGACTGTGTGGTTGGTCGTCACGTGTATTTACATGCACATATGTGTTTACACATGTATGCAAATGTAAGTCATTCTGTTTTTCATTTGGTTTTAATTCAGATCATTTATTTTTTCTTTCCCATAGACCCTAGAAAGAGCAGATGCTTCATTACAAACTGTTTATGGGGATTCAACTTTTGTTAGCCCGTCACAATGTGGCTCTGACATCTGTATTAAAAATATAGAAGTAAATGGTGTAGTTTCTGCACTATATGAGGCTGTATGCTTACCTAAGCTTACAATTTCCCAGAGAAGAACTCCAAAAGACCATCTGTTAGAGAAGATATAAAGATAAGACACAAAGCTTAGTAAAACTGTAACAAAGCTTAAACAATTTAAATACTGGCTCTTGGAAGCATTTTCATGTTTCTTTTTGTCGATCATATCTTTGTTGATTATATCTGGTGCCTTGCAAAGCAGCTAGCTGCAAAAATATACAGATTGTAGATGACAAAAAATTCTGAAAGATTCTGCTTATCATGCTTTTACAAGCAATATAGATACCTCTTACTCAAAATGGAAGTATTTAACACAACCACAAACATCAAACAGAATAACAGGAGGATATTTGATTCTTTAATTGTTAAAATGAAGATTGTTTGTAAAATGAACGCAGAAACTTAAGGGGAACCGAGCGTCAGAAAAACAACCTCTTCCCTGCTATCTGATTAGCAAATTTCTCTTCAGAGAAATACCACGGCTTTCATATTTCACAGAACAGTGTGGTAGATCATATGGGCAGACAAGTGTTGTTCGTGCTGTCAGCCTGTCCGTTTGTTTTGTTCGATTTCTTCCCCGCAGCACGTTTCGCGACGTCTCACATTGTGTCTCTTACAAATGTTTACAACTCTCTGGCCCTCTGAGCAGCATTCACACTTTTCCGTTGGCCATGCTGCACTCTCTGCTGTGTATAAATAGGTTCCAGTTGACATGCCAACGTGTCTGTCTGTCTGCTAAGTTGTACCCAGGGCTTCCTGATTGTGCTTATCAGTTGTGCAGCACACTATTATCACTCCACCAGTGACAGACGGATGATTTGTTGTTTTCTGTGGTGAGGCACTTTGTGGCATGTCTAATCAAAACTTTACTGGGAGTAGTAGCAAATAAGGTTTCTGAAGATATTAAATAAGAAATAGAGGGAGGAATTATTATAAAGACCTATGTATTGTAATACGGAAACCATGTTTTTCAGGAAGTGTTTGTGAACCACTTTACCAATAGTTCTCATTTCTGAGGAATAATATATCCCAGCATATTAGTAAAAAAAAATGTAAAAGACTTACACATCACTCTTTGTTGTATAAACACTGTAGTTCAGGGACTCAATGGCCATCCAGCGTACCGGCAGTCTCCCCTGAAAGTGAAGCAACAACAGATTCATGTCAAATCTTGCGGCTTTGGTGTGTTATGGCATGTTTTAATCTTGTTCTGACATCATTTATGTTTGAGTATTAAATAGAAAAGATGAATGCATGAAATGATAATAAGAAAAATAGGGTTTAAACTGTATTATAAAGTGGTGCCACATTATATTATTAAGTCTATTGCCCATTACAGTAAGATGGTAATCTGCTCTACAAACACTGCACGTGCTGGAGTTTACAAACCTAAACATGACTGCCCTCTACAGGCGCTCTATTATTGTGAAAATCAGTGACTGTCTGAACAGTATTATACCATTAAAAACAACAAAAACAGCTGAAATTATAAAAACAAAAATAACAACCTCTTATCCCCTTGGACTGTTTCATTTGATCAGCTTGATATAATCTTTTTAGTTAACCATATGTGAGTTAATGCAGATCTACAGATACGCTGACAGCCTAAAGATATGGCTTTATGCAGTCACAGACTGCAGCAGCCTGCTGATAAATGTTTTGCTGTACAGCTCCTTTGTCTTCTGCCGTTTTCAGCATGTGAAAGGTGAGAACAACACATGCAATCCACTCTAATAAAAGGAAAAAAAAAGGGGGGGGGCAACATCTAACACTGCTTTGTTTTAGTCTCAAGCAACCGGTGCTTTCTGCAAGGCTAAACCAAAACATAACCCCCACCACTCACCATTGTCTTCTTAACATAGACTTCCTCACCACGGGACAGACCGAAATCTGCTATCTTAGCCACAAGATTGTCCCCAACAAGAACATTCCTCGCTGCCAAATCCCTGTGGATGAACTAGGACCAAGAGAGCAGAGGAGGGGGGGGAAGCGGTGTCATGACAAAGATACAGATACAACAATTTTAAGCAAAATTAAAAATGAACCTGTAAACAAATCTGAAAAAAAAAATCTAGTTTTAGGTCACAACTTCATGCAAAACTGAGACTTTGATCAGATCTAAGATCATTTGTTCAGAAATAAAAAAGCACCATCACCAACAGGCACAAAACAGCAGCTAAGGTTGCTCATCCTTCCTCCTCCTACCTGTTTGTCACTGAGGTAATGCATCCCATTCGCAACATCCACAGCAAACTGCAGCAGCTGCTGGGAGGTGAGGGTGGAAGCAGTACCGTGCTCTTTGGCAAAGGCAGGGTCCGTCTCCAACACCCGACTCTTCCTCAGGAAGTCAAGGAGGTTACCATAGGGGGCGTATTCTATGGCTATGTACAGATAACCTGGAGCAGACAGAGAGACAGATGGACTGATATCTCTGTCAATAAGAAAAGGCCATGCCACCTGCTAATAAACATATTACCTTCCATCTGTGCAAACTGCTATTGGCTCAGACAGACCATTTTAATGAAATTGTATTATTTTTACAACATACTATGACTTTGACCTTGGCTGACTCGCTTGGATTTGCCTGGAAAGAGACCCAGCTACAGCTTGTACTGGGCTTGACCTTCAACTCTTTGGTCTTTGACACAGCAGAGGTACACCAGACCTTTTGTAAAATCCTCACAGAACTCAACCAGATGGCTGAAGCTTTGTTAATAGATTACAGCTTCCAGCCAGAGCCAGAGTTCCTACAGGCATTTGTAGTTGTTGGAAGAGTTTCATGTTGATTTCACTAGGACCAGGGACAGTGCCAACACAATTACTAAGTACCATATGTGAAAGGAAAGAATAACGGGTTTATGGGCAGAGTGGTCAAAGAACTGGAACATAATACAATTATGTTACTTGTGAGTTACAAAAGCGTCTGTTAATCAAGCACATGCCATGTTTCTTGCAAAAGAAGAGTTTCTCAATATGGAACGGTGACAGGTCATCTGCTCCAAAACCCCCATCACCTGAAGAATAACCAAGCTCAGTAAGAATGTGAGGTCATGTTAGTATTAGCACATAGCTGGAATAGAGAGAGAGAGAGAGACTGCTATGAAAGCTCTGTGGAGAGGCGTGACCTTTTCGTTCAATCGTTATCTTCTACTTTTAAGAGTATATCAAATATCGTCTCAATTTATTCCCTCCTCTTGTGTTCAGTAGCTCAGCGGTGAATTCCTTCCGGACACACCTTGTTTTTCTAGTACAGGAGGAGAGCAAATTTGTTCCAGATCTCAGTAAGACGAGATAGGGTGAGAGCTGAAAACGACACCATAATCTCTCCCTTAAAGACATTAAATGCAAAACTGACAAAAAGTCAAGTTTGTGTTTCCTCTTCTAGCCAGCGACTTTTCTTTACAGCTTTCCTTTCAAAGGAAGTGCAGTTACACAGACAGTAGCAATACTTCCAGCCAATTAGCACTTTTTCTTGATGACCATTCGTCGAAATCTTCTTTGATGTTAAAATTTTTACTTGCTTGCTCTCCTCTCTCCCCACTTTCGAAACATTCCTCCCTCCTGACCTCTTTTCCCTCGTGCTCACCCCCTCCTTCCTCTGTTGCTCTTTCCATGAAATTAAATGAAGAAAACACTCGAGGTTTTCTTTAAATCTTTTCAAGTATGTGTGCTGCATCTGTGTGCACATGCATGTTCATGATTGTTAATCAAGGGTGTAAACAAAGAAGAGATAAGGTCTGCAGAGATAAGGTCTGCAGAGCTAAGCGCTACTTCGAAGCGAGCGTTTATTTTTTCAAGGTCGACTTGTTTGTAACAAGAGGTGCACAGAGGTGCTTCTCATGTGCTTCCAGTCTTTGATCAAACAGAAGTAATTAAATGATTCAATTTAGAAGACACTGGCGTAAACTGATACTTCAAGGTAGGGATCATGAAGGAAACCTTATACAAATACATTAATGCATGCCACAGCTGTTTGGTTGTTAGGCGCGCGGACAAATCAAACACATGTGATAGCGCAAATGCTTCTGGCAGGCGAAGATTATTTCATTTGGACACATTCTGGGGTTTTCCAGGTGCAGATGACAGAGAGTCAGATGGGACGGGCGTATCTGTTTGCATCTCAAGTAAGAAGAATTTAACCTGTTCAAGTACAGCGCTGCATATTAAGAAGGAATGAGCTGAATAAGGAATCTGTTGAGGGTACAGTTTGTTGAACACAGGCTTTTGCATAAGATTACATTTAAATCTTGATAAAGATATAAAGATGCTGTATATTAGCACCATATTGTTTACCTATTTCTCTAAAGAAAACCTTCTTTAGGCTATTTGAATCTTTAGAGCGATTCTAGGTGTGTTTTCTGACACATACCAATGTATCTATCATGCAGTTTGGTATATATGCTACAGATGAAATCACACCAACAACCAAACTAGATGGTGTATCTGCTTCCACGAGAAGTGACCAAACATCATCTGCTGAGGAAAGTCATATTGTATGGTTGTTGGGTTTCAGCTGGATTTGTTTAGGGAAACATCAGATTGTTGATGTATAGATTTCTGTAGTATACAGTTTATACAAATTGGTCACTAAACTGTAAGGCAGTCGTATACTTGTGACACTGAAACAGCAGTTTGTTTCACCTGTGAATTACTGTTCCCGAATAGCCAATGGTGTGTCAATGCTCATTACGGCCACTAGATGTTGCTCACTCACCTCTATTTTCACAGGCTCCTATTAAGTTGATGATATTGGGATGCTGGCCTAGTTTACACAGGACCTCCAGCTCTCCTGCAAAGTCTCTGTGGTCATTTTCTGAGGCAAACTCTGCAGGAAGAACAACATGATGGGCATTGTTAAGCAAAGTGCAAGCAAAGCAGTATTTGAAATGAAAATTACACATCAGAATGCCGTACGGTGTCTTAATGTTATGTCTAACGACTATATCTGTATCAGTTTAATGATAAATGTGTGGCTCAGATACCTTTCAGCATCTTGATGGCTGCGCTCATTTTGTTGCCGTCCTTCTTGATCATGGCTTTGATAACCTGTTATTGAAACCACAGTTAGCTCAAGTGTTGCGAAGAGAATGGCAACCACAGGGAACACTGCAACGTTCAGAAAGTCTAAACACCTGGCCAAAGTTTCCCTCTCCAATGACATCTTCAAACTTTATGTTCTCCCACTCAAGGATTGGATAGGTGAGGGGCTCTGGCGTGGGCTTTGGCCTTCGTGTCAGGGTCAGAGTTCCTGAGTTAAACTGCAGAATAGTTTCCTCCCCCTGGAGATATAAACAGTGTATAGTCAGCAAAATAATTTCTCTCAGTGGCTGCAAAGTCAACCGGAATAGAATGAATGCTCACCGATCCAGATTGGTAGGTAAACGTGCGGCGACGGTTCAGCAGCGTCTTCCTGATGAAGAAAAGAGCCAACAGTGCCAACAGTATAGTCACACAGGTGACAGTCACTGAACCCACCACTGCAATTAACAGCTGATAACTGTCAGTGGGCTGGCCAATCACATCCAGGGTGGTAGGGGTAAAGGTTGGAGAAGCTTTTTCTAGCATTGGGAAAAAGACAGAGTGAAAAAAAAGAAGAGGAGAGAAAGAAGATTTAAATACGGGGGAGATAAATATGGAATTTTGGAAACATGGAATCCATGTGTGGGTGGTCTGGTCAACTGGAGGAGCCAACCAAATACAGTAGTGAAGAGGTTGGACATAAGATTATGAGGTCCCATATTTGAGACTTAAAATTTATCAAAAATATCAAACTTAAGAATATAACACAGTCTCATTTGGAACCCTTTGCATGTTGCCGTCTATATTTTACCTTCTATGTGACTTGATCATTATGAGGAGCTTCCTGCTTACCATCCCCCTGTGTCTTTGCCTGAACATAGTTGCTCCACTCTCCTGGCACTTTAGAGAAAGCCCTCACTCTGAATTGGTAGATTGTGCTGCCATTGAGTGCCGTCACATCTTTGGTGGTCTTGTTCCCATCGTCTGTGTCCACCCAAGGGTGGGGGCTCACCTGGCCGACTGGCTGGTACTCTATGATATATTTAATGATACCTCCATTTGGGTCGTCAGGGGGCTGCCACTTCACCTGAATGGCTGACATGGACAGAGGCACGGCCTTGACGTTGAGTGGGGATGATGGACCTTAGATACAGAAACATTAGAGCTGTTACAATCAATCAAAAATAATCTTTCTTACCACACATTCTGAAATCAAGCAGGTAATCTAATCCAGACACTTCAAGACTGGTTACTTGAGGAACGTTTGACTATTAAGGATTTAAAAGAATCATATGCATAGATTATGGCTTTACATCTATCAGCTGCTATTTTCCCCCTTCAATTTACACACAACTTCTGGGCAGAGAGAGAGTTGCTAAGTAAAAGGCGAGCTCCAAATACAGCCGAGTGTTTAAACCAAGGCTAAAACCTATAGGGCGCAATATATTGCAATACACTTAATGTTGTGCCACAAGCTGCGAGAAGTGAATTATGAACTGCTTTACATTTTAAAACTTCTTTGCAGCTTTTTTTCTCTAACCAGCAGGTTTTAGTTACCCTGGCTGTTGATGTGGAAATGGTAGCGTTTGGAGGGCGGGCCCTGGCTGCCACAGTTGATGAGGCGCACCACCACAGTGTAGTCTTGTTGATACTCCAGGTTGTGGAACTTGGTGGAGAGCACATTGAGCAGGGTGTCAACCTCCTGGAGTTTCTCACTGTAGCGTGGCGGCCCGAAGAGCTGCACTAAAAAGCCAGTGGCTCTGCCAGCATTAATGGCTTTGCTGCCGGGTAATCGCCAGCGTACAGTAACATTGCGGCCTTCCACCGAGCTGCTGTCAATCTCAGGTTGAATTGTGGGCTCTGCAGCAACAGAGAACACAAGATGAGCTGTGGGGACTACGATCTATTGGTACACTTTTTGGTAACACTTTATAATATGAAACATTTCACTGTAAATTAAATGGACTTCAAATGTATTGTGTTTGAAATTAAATTGTGATTATATTATATTTACCAACAAATACTTAGAGTGAGGTGCACAAGAATAAGGAGGTAATAAGTTGGGATGGATGTTCTATTGTTCAATTTATAAATATATTATATACACACTACTGGTTTAGGAGCACCCCAATTTTTCCACTTATTTATTGCAATTCAAGTCATTCAAGTCCAATGAATATGCCAGAGGTTATTTTTTTTTAAAAAGGTAGGGCTACTCAAAACTGAAAAATAATGTACATTTCAGAATTATACTGTAAGGCCTTTTTCAGGGAGCACAAAATGGGCTACCAATTTAAAACTGTTCTGCAGCAATGATGGTGGATTAAGCACTGAAAGCTGGTGCTACTAATTCCGCAGAAACTCTCACAGGAAGAGGTGTGGCAGACCCAAAGCCACAACTGAATCAGAGGACAAGTTTCTGAGAGTTAAAAGTTTGTGTGATAGACAGCTCACAGGACAACAGCTTCAAACACAGCTTCATATTGGTCGTAGTAAGCAAGTCTCAGTTTCACTGTGAAGAGAAGACTTCAGGCTGCAGGTTTGACAGGATGAGGAGCAAACCATTGCTAAGACGTGAGAATAAGACAAAGAGGCTTTTCTGGGCCATGAAGCACCGCCATTGGACTATTGAAGACTGGAAGAAGGTATTATGGACTAATGAATCAAAATTTGGGCAGCATGGTGGCTAGCACTGTTGCCTCACAGCAGAGAGTTTGCATGTTCTCCCCATGTATGCGTGGGTTCTCTCCGGGTACTCCAGCTTCCTCCCACAGTCCAAAGACATGCAGTTAGTGGGGTTAGGTTAATTAGAAACACTAAATTGCCCATAGGTGTGAATGTGGGAGTGAATGTGAGTGCGATTGGTTGTCTCTAACTATGTGTTAGCCCTGCGACAGATTGGCAACCTGTCCAAGGTGTACCCTGCCCTTCACCCTAAGACAGCTGGGATAGGGTCCAGGCCCCCCGTAACCCTGAAAAGGATATGCGGAAGCAAATAGATGGATGGAAGGATGAAATTTAAAATTTTCGGTTCATCACGCAGGATCTTGGTGTGCCATCAAGTAGGCAAAAGGAGGGTTCCACAGTGTGTGGCATCAACTGTCAAACTTAGGAGGAGGAAGTGTGATGGTCCGTGGTGGTGAGTGTTGTACAGAGTGAGAGGACCCTGAACCAAAACGGCTACCTACCCGAGTGTAATCTATCTGTGCCATGCAGAACAAAGCTCTGTGTGTGTGTGTGTGTGTGTGTGTGTGTGTGTGTGTGTGTGTGTGTGTGTGTGTGTGTGTGTGTGTGTGTATATATATATATATATATATATTATATATATATATATATATATATATATATATATATATGTGTGTGTGTGGTGTGTGTGTGTGTGTTGTGTGTGTGTGTGTGTGTGTGTTGTATGTTTCAACAGTGAAAAGTTAAAAAAGAAGAACAGTTTATGCACAATCATATTTGTAAAGTCAAAGGGAATATTGAATAATAAAACATCTATCATGCAACCAATATAATGAATATTAAATAAAGATGTAAAAAGGCAAGATTAACCCCCTCCATAATATGGCCTGTGCCCTTTACCTCCATACTTACAAGTTAGACGGGGATATATTGTTTTGTGTTGGATTTTTTCACTACAAATGAATTTGAACCCCCTAATTCTAGTGCACCTGCTTTGTAAGTAACATAATTACATTATAATTTCAAATAAAATTATTTTGAATTCCATTCAATCACAAGGGAATTAAGCCGAATTAAGTTGCAGATCATATTTTAGTGTTACCCATGTATCCTAATTGATGGATGCTAGGTGATTTTCTTGATGTTAATTTGAGTTTTCACAGAAATGGGGTGAGCAGCAGTTAGTTTACAACAGCGCTAGCTTTAAATAGCGCTGTGTTTGTCTGCTTTCCGCCCCTCAGTTATATGGACCTCGTTACTCTGTCCTTTTGTCTGTGATTAACCAGCTCAGAATGCTATATTTTCCCCAAAGGTAGACTTCAAGTCCCTTTATGGCAGTACATTTCAAAATAAAATGGACAAATGGCTAAGATAAATCCAGTATTTGTTGATGCACAGTTTTATTTATTTCATTTTCCATTCCAGTTTTTGACTTAAACATTAATGGAACGTCCTCAGTTTAGCCAAGAGAATCTATTTAGTGTTGCTTTTCCAAAATTTACACTAATGTCAATAGTTTATGTTTGTGCAAGAGACAGGCATAAACTATCATCAACAGATCATTTTAGATCCATTTCACACGCGGACCTCAGACATTGTAAGAGACTCAAGCTTAGTAGAACTACGATTAACTGCACTTCAAAACACTTTTTCATGTTCTTTTTTCTGCACTTGCTTTTTCTAATATGCTCTCTCCCTCTGCCCAACCTTCACTTAGGAATAAACCTGCTATTGCTTCTTGAATACAGGTTGTTTCTGCTTTAAACGGGGTCATGACTTCTAATAGGCCGATAAAAAATTACACTTTTTAATGGTATTCTGCTTTTTGTTGTTGTTGTTGTTGTTGTTTTTAAAAGAAACACCCATAAATCATTCCACTTGCATTTTTCTGTATTTGCTCTAAACTTGAGTCAGGCATGGGAAAAACACTTCACTATTACACTAACCAGACTTAAAATAATTGAGCTCGCTTAAGTTCTGTGGTCAGGAAAATTGATATTTTTTCCCAGATAAATATACACATGTCCAAAGTTTGTGTGGTCTGTAAAATTTATCTGCAGGTCTCACCAGGACAGTCGGTCTCCATTATGGCTTGCGGCCCCGGGTCCCCCTCTCCTCCTTCCCCAGGACGACTCAGCTGGACACGGACGTAGTAGCGTGTTGAGGGCTCCAGGTTCATAAGCGTGATAGGCTCTTTGTCACTATAAACTGAAAGGAAAATTGACTTAGGATAGGCTGGTGAGCCAAAGTTTTCATTCATTTTTAGAGTAGGATTATTAAGCAGAAACACAGAGTGTCTGAAGTGTTTTAAATAACATTACACACATACACTTCAACACATATGTTTAACATTTGTTGTCTTTAGGTGGGGGAAAAACAGATGTGAACTCAAACTTAACGGAACACGATGTCCTTTGAGAAGATCTCTTTTGTTTATAGACCCGATTGGGGTGTTTTTTTAACAAATACAATTTGTTATTTTTTAACTTTTTTAGATTTTCTATTGAGAACAGTTTTTATTTTAAATTTGTGCAATCTGTTGTCCTAATCATGCTTCTTGCTTTAGCTAATACATTATATCTTTGGCTGAACTGAGAGTGTGTTGAAATAACAGAGATTTACGCAATCTCTGTTTTTGTTGCTGCAATGCAATAAAAGAAAAAGTAAAAAAATAATTATCTGTGATTGCTCTTCTTTCTGATAAAGACTGACTGTGTGACTACATGAATATGTTTTTCCCGTATACCTATGATGGAGGACCACAAGTCTTCATTTTTATTCTCCACAGGCTTATAGAGGACTCTGATTGAGATGATGGGGCCATCTCCCACAGAGGTGTACACTGGCATCACCAGCAGCTGCTTGCTTCTCTTTTCCAGCAATTTGGGAGCAGTAATGGGCATCGGGGGCACTGAAAAGAAGCAGGATCTTTTTTTATTATTTTGAAATTCACCTGTCTGTACAGAACTTTAAAATGTCATAAATCACACACCTTTAACAGTGAGGGTGAATTCACGCGAGTCCTGGCCTCCATCGGTGGACACCCTGCACTCCCACAAGCCTTCTTGTTCAGCGCTCAGGTTAGGGATATCAAATTCAGCAGTGCTCCTGTTTGAGTCCATGACAGTACGAGAGGCCTGCAAATACATGTGTAACACAGGGAGGCAATGAAATATGCTGCAATTTTTTTTAAAAAAATTTTTTAGATCCATCTGCTGGGATCATTTTGACTTTTTCCAACACTTTGAGAAAATTCTGGTGGTCAAATTTTCCTTTTCTTTTTTTTTTAAACAGTGTGTGTCTATTATCAAGGAAACAGCGGAGAAACAATAACACAGAAACTGAACATATCACTTAAAGGCAAAACATGGTGACTGCTGCACTGTGGAGTGATACAGCCTTATCTGGTTGGGCCATTGTGCTGCTGACTTCCTCAGAACATGACTCGAGCTTGCATTCATCGGGCTTGACATAAAAACAAAGTTTAAACCCCAAATAAAAGTTGTTTCATTTGTTCTATTTTACACTTTCTTTACTTTTTAGAGAGAGACTTTACAAATTTAAAGAAACAGTTGGACTTGTTTGAAGACTCTTCATACATTTTCTTGCTCGATTACACTAGAACAGGGGGCAGCAACCTTTAACACCCAAAGAGCCATTTGGACCCGGTTTCCACGCAAAAGAAAACACTGGGAGCCGCAAATACTTGTTGACATCTAAAATGCAGATAACACTGTATATATTGTTTTTCAGCTTTATGCTTTGTGTGAACAAAGTTGTGTTGCTTATGAAATCCATGAAGTGCTACAGAGAAAATTACATTTTATTTATGTAATTAACACATTTTGAACTCTTAAAGAAATATAACAAAAGGAAAGACACCCAGCTGAACTAAAATTCTGCCTGAATATGTATTTTACCTGGTTAATGTGTGTGGCGGGGCGTGGTCTGCAGAGACGCTCCAGGCGAGGCGGACGCACCTGAGTGGCACCCGCAATCACGCCTCGCTGCCTTAACGTCTGTGCAACAACGCCTGTTGTTGGTATGTGTCTGAAAAGCTACAGCCGGCTGTATGCGTACAGTAACCGTGTGTGAAAAGTGGTCAATAAAGAGATGCTGAAAAGCATGTTCATGGAAACATCGTCGGGTCTGCTGTGGTACGTTTACAATGAGACTTCTGCTCCCGAACCTCTGCGCACAGCGTCTGGAAATCGGGGCTGTACGAAGTCACTTTCATCTTTACGCAGGACTGTAAGCTGTCGTCTGTGAGGCGTGAGCGGTGTTTGTTTTTAACATAATTCACGGTTGAGAATAGCTGCTGACATAAGGTGGATCCGAAGATCCATAATTGGCCTACCTGGGGTTGAAAGTCTCGATAAATGCACGGCGTTTCGGCGGGTATACCGGCTTCCGCGAGTGCGACGCTTATTTTGAGCGATGAAAAAAATAACATAATATAATTTTATTTTTATATTTCAATATCACAATAATCTTCCAATTTAGAACTACAATTTAAAAAAGAAACTAATACAATTAATATATATAGCTGGCCAGCTATGTCACTTTCTATCACTGAAGCTATCCGGCCCTAATTAACCTTAGCCTGGCTAACCACACCTACATTTTTAGTTAATATTGGTCCTAAATGAATAAATCTTTCCTTATTCAGTATAATCAGAACTGATTATTTCCACTTCCACAGTCCATATTTGGCACTTTTTGAGGGACTTCAATGCCTTTTTCCAGAATAGAGCAGGCATTAGTAACATCAGATGGAGATGCCTAGGTTGCGGTGGGCTACAAAGCAGCTTGCAGATGTGCAAAAATGTGGGAAAGCTAATGCTACAGTCACACTACAGGAAAGTTGTTAACCACAACACAAGCCTTGCATCGAGGTCTGTGACCACCCGCAGTCAGTTACTATCTTCAAAGTGGATTTGGGGTGATAAAATGACACGATAAGACAGAGTCAGTCTGCAGTCAGTCTTTGGGACTAAATGGGTTTGGGTTGCTCTTTATATAGTAAATAACTGTGACAAATTAGCAAAAAAAAAACCCAAATACGTTATCATCTATTGCAAATCTGCTGCCATCCACTTATGAAGAAATTAATATTAAACAGAAATTCTCATTAACTGCTTACATTTCGTCCAATCAGAATCCACTAACAGTGACGTAGTTGCTGTAGTGATTTAACTGCGAACAGTTTATTTAGGAATATAGCCACAATATAACCATTTAGCAACTAGTTGAGCTGAGTATTGCAGGCAAAAAATGGTTTGCAAAGTCTTGGCATGCAGTCTGTGTTTACTAATTAGGCAGCAGTTATTTGCAGATGTTCAACAATCTGTCCGACAGTGATTGCAGTCACTCTGATTCAAACCATGATAGTTTGGAGGCATGGTTCCTCCAACTGGATGACTATTTAGTTGCTGCAACTACTTGTAATCAGCTGCTGAATGGAAAAAAAAAAATCACTGTAATCACCAAGCAAACACATCATTTTCCTGGTCAACAGAGGTTGCTGTACTGCTTTTACCCTAATGTGACTGAGCCATTAAGCAGCTCAAGCAAGAACTTGGCAAATATCATATAGTAACTTAGATGAATGTGTAGAAGGATATCAGGTGAACCATTAGCTGATATGGGCCGACACGGAGGTCTGCCAAGATATTCAGCCTGAACTAACACTCTTGTATTCAGGCTTACTGTGAGGTTTCCTTGCCGGAGTGCTGCTGGCAACTGCTGGTCTTCCTACCTTAAGTACTGTGCTGTCCAACTTTCGCAACTCAATGCTGTTGTGACTGGGCAGGGGGTTCCCTGTGGCTGAGCAAAGGATCATGGCTTTGGAGTTGAGATTCAACTCCAAATGCCTATCCAAGTCCAAAATCTGAGGAGCCCAGTCTAAAGATGTAGAGAGAGAGACGGGACAGGAAACGAAAAGAAAGGAACAGCAAAAAAAGACAAAAAATGATGCTTCACTAATGAGCACGGTAAAGAAAGAGATCATAAGAGCAGCAACTCTGCTTGTAAAAACATTTATATAAGTACACCCATTGGTCAAATTTTGAAATCACATCCCCTAGTGGTTGTACTTTTTGTGTGTGATGAAATAGGAAAAATACACTTTTGACAAATTCAGGTGCCAATACAAAGGCTGTGTGACCCTTAGCATTAAAAAAGGTTGCACATTCAAGAGTAACTTGTTCAGTTAAATCATTCATTATGGTTTGTGTGTGGTGTGTGCAACAGTTTTATTAAGTTGCATAGCTGGTCTATATACAATATTTCAAGAAGAATGCAAATAAAATTGAAATAGTGGGAAAAAAAAAACGTGCATATTACTGTAGCTGTTAAGATACCTACCAGACCTATCACAGTGCTGTCCTCTCCACCCTCTGGGACACTGGCATCCACTGAAACGGCTGCAGACGCCTCCGTTCTGGCATTTGCAGCTAAACTTGCAGTCTGGCCCATACATGCCATTATGGCAGGCTGACAACAGAATAGAAGAAAATAAAACGTCATAGTGTGAGACTCGATAAGGTCATTATTGAAACTCCATTAAAAGAAAATGGCATAAAAAAAAAAGAAAACAGATGATCTTATTTAAATTATGTATCATACCATTCTCACAGTGGCTCCCAAACCAGCCGCTGGCGCAGGAACAACCATAGGGGTCTGGTAGGCAGAATCGAAGCCCCTTGCAGTTCAACTTGGAACCACATGTCTCCTGGCAGTTTTGACCAAACATTCCTTCTCTGCAGGCTGCAAGTCATCAGAGAAAGAAAAAAATTACAAATCTGTTTGTTTAAATTCCTCATGTTTTGCGGTATCATGCCTTAAAACTCTAAAACTCTTTTTTTCTTGGTTTCACAGTTGCATTAAATGTTTTACTATACTGCCAAGAACTTCAGAATTTGTAGAATATGCTGTCTTCAGGTATCTCTAGTGACAGATTTAAATTCAGTGTACCTCATGTGTAGTTTTCTATCTATAACTATAACGGAGCTCAACACACAAGACAATGCTGGGTGAACTTCACCAAATAGAAATGAAAAATGATCATGAACAAGTTAGGAAATTTATGTTTGTTCAATTATGTTGAAAAGCCTGTTCATTTGACCTTAAATGGAGCCACGTTTATGAGGAAATGCATTTATGAGTTGAGCAGCAGAGTTGAGTATGTGAGCTGCTCCCCTGTAAAAACTCCTCTCTGCCAATGCCAGAGAAGACCATCCCATCTTGAAGGACAGACCAAACTCTGTCCTTCAAGATGACAGCGCTCACCCGTTCAGAGTGGGCTTTATAAGAGACTCTAGAACTTGTGAGTTGAGAGGATGGAGCTACCCGCCTGCACTCCTGACCTCAATTGAACAGCTGAGAGATCAGCTTGGGCGTGCTGTTAGTGCCAGAGTGACGAGCAGAGCCACACCGGGACTTGGAGATAATACTGGTTGAAGAATGGGATGACATCCCACAGCATGAGGAAGAGGATTTTTCATGGACGCAACTCACGTACGCAACCCTTCTGCTCAACCCACAAATGCCTTTTCCTTCCAAATGTAAAAAAAAGATTTATATATGTTTATATTTCGATGATCTACTAGTTTTCTACCAGTGGTTAATGAGTGAACTCATTTTAGTGTGTGTTTACAATATAACATTTAGTGAGTTCTTTTTTTCTGATTGGTTGATGTATGAAATCAGATGCTTAGTTAAAAGCTAATCTATTTCATTCATGCATAAAAATTCTTTAAAAAAACAAACCCTAGTATATTGAGAAAAAAATACTTGTTCATATACAGACAAGTAAGTAGTATGAACTAATGCTACATAGTTTCAGCAAACTGATGTGCCTCTTGCTAGATGTGCTTTTAAATATAATAGCCCTAACAATAAAGTGCATACAGAAAAACATGTAGCACAAAATAGCTACCGCATACAGATAATGACAGTAATGGAGTCTATGGCTATTTGTGCATTTGAGAGTACGTGACCCAAGGTGCTTTCCAGAATACACAATCTTTTGTTAACCAGTGTCATTTGCACAGAGGCTGATTAGTGATACAAACACCATTAAAACATCCATCACTCTAATGGCTGCTTAACTTTCAACTCAGGTAATAAATCTAAGAAATTTCGACTCAAAAGCTTGCATCTTTTCTCTAAGAAGTCAAAGTAACATTGCTTTGATCCTACAAGGAATAATTTACTCAGAACAACAGCGTTTCTGCGCAAGGCTATATTACTGCTTTAGACGGAGCACGTTCCTCGGCCTCACTCGATCAGCCTAACGCGGTTGCCAGTGTTTTTGCTGATTCATTTTTCAACCTTAGGCTCCACAGTCTGTCTGTCTCTTTTTGGTACTGTTTATGTTAAGGAGTCAGACTGCGAGGCTTTGACTCTGATTGTGCATATTTATTCCAAATGTGTAAGTGAGTCAACATAATTCATGTGACTTATTAACACTGCTTTTTCACCTTGCACACCCTTTTTGTATTATCCTCCTCTATCTCCCTTTTTATTGATCTCATTCACAAACAGAAAGTTCTCCTATACAATACTGCAGATGCAGATGTTTGCCTGAGTAGAGTACAAACCTGTCTCACAGTGTGTTCCCATAAATCCTGGAGGGCAGATACAGTCTCCGTTCACTTCATGACACACGCCACCATTAAGACACTCTTGACAATCTCTGATACAGTTAGGACCCCACTTCTGACTGGGGCACCCTGCAAAGAAACACAGATTCTTTACTTAGAACAGCACAGAGACTTCAAACAGCTTCGATAGCATTTATATGTATTTCGCCTTTTGTGTGTTTTTTAAGCACATGTGACCTATTTAAATGAAAAAAAAAAAGGATACATAGTACAGAATGCATGCTAAATGACAGTAAAATGTGCATCTGGTGGAGACAAAAAAGAAAAAGCCGGCTGCAGGTGGAGGGTGGGGATAGTGTTAATGCTGTAATTTTTCTTTGGGGTACTGAGATAAAGGAAATGACACAAACATATGTGCTGCACATGCCTTGCCAAATAAGATGTGCAGATGTAGCCTATAGTGAATTCACAGTTTAGGGTAGGCTAGTATTTAACAGTAACTTTCCACAAGCTTCCATATAAATAGAAAGATTTTGAGCTGGGGAATCTTGTGCATCTCAATCAGTCTAGCAGAACGTGCATTGAGTCAACCTTAGCATGTCTTGTGTAATCCTTTGTAAGTTCAGCTGCATATCTGAGCCAAAACATGCTACAAAACCCTTGATTTAATCTGACACCGATTGATTGTGTGTGTGTGTGTGTGTGTGTGTGTGTGTGTGTGTGTGTGTGTGTGTGTGAGACCCAACCAACAAACCTCTGACAATGAGCCTCATCCAGGCACCGTTAAGAGGGGTGTCTCCAACGTAGCTGGCACTGTAGATACCTTGATTGTCAAGCTTTACATTCTCCACCGTTAGCTCAACAGTTTCATTGAACATGTCAATCCAGTGTGTCATATAATAGTAGTTTCCTGCAAGAAACAAGCGACAACATTAATGTCATTGTTTGAGCCTGCGTTTGCACAAAAATGTCCTTCCTCTGTACCGAGTTGCATACGTTGACTCACCGTTGTACTTCCAGGTCACATCTCTCCTTTGGGGGTTGAGCAAGTGCATAGTGAGGTGAACTGTCTCACCTACATTAGCAAGTAGTGTGAGGGAATTTGGAACGAAATCTGTTGTAAGGAACAAAGAATCTGTTATTGTTTGTTTGTTTTTTTAATGGCACACCCTTGAAAGTAGTTGCATTTAAACATGTATTTCATGCATAATGGATTTAAGCAATAAAATAAATCTCTCTGAAGAAAGTCTTGTTTTTTGAAGTGCAAACACACCGTTGTCAAGGTTGTTAATCATTGTGATTATTTCAACTGGGGGAAAGTCCTGAGAAGATTCACAGTAGAAGATGCCAATGTTTTCTAGGCGACTAAAGTCTCTGGCCACAACCATTTTATTTCCGGACTTGTGCATTTTATATTGTGGGACACTGGAGAACATGAGGATTTTGTTGTCCTTCTTAATGTCCAACTTAGCCTGGGCAGAGTTGCGCTCTCCATTGATACAAGAGATGGAGAAGTTCTCGGGTGTTCTGATCATGGCTGCAGAGAACATGGTCAGGTCAATCACAGCATCTGTAAAACAGAGCATTAGTCATTCTCTGATGTAAGGCAGCAGTGTGAGTTTTTTTTTAATCATGTGTAACAAACCTTATTTAATTATTCAGAGAGATGGAGAGTTGTCTTTTCAGGGGGGAGACCCATAATTTTTAATCAGCTGTTAAGTGATTCACACAGTGACAGAAAATACATACACTACATCTTTACATATTTTTTTCAATTTGTATTGCTTTTCCCTAGAAATGTACACATTACTAAATTACTCCATTGTCATCTTGGAGCTGTTAAAGTGCTCAGTCGTTAGCAGTGTGGAACTACTGTTTCATTCCAGTTTTGATCAAGTGTCAGATTTGAAGTTCTGCATTAAATTAAAGATGATTGTGTCAACTTAGTTTCATAAATTTCATAAAACTCGTCTATCAGACACATGGAATAAATATTGAATCTAAGGGAAAAATTGCAACTCTTTTTTTCTGTTAATAACGCCTTGTTTTCATATTGCGTTAAAATGGGGAAGATCAACGAAGATTAACGAAAATACCGATTGGGGTTTGGGTTCAAACATAAACGCCTCTTGAAGTGATTCATTAACAAAAGTGCCAAATCCAATAACATGAGTTTGCCCAGCATTCCTTCTCCCTGGTATGTGAGCCCCAAATCCACAGAACAATGGAAGGAAACATGGATGAGCTCCTTATTCCCTGAGGGTACATAGATCTACGCGCTGTGCTGACAATCGCTCTCAGGCAATCGAAAAAAAAATAGCTTAAAAACTATAAGTGGATGAAGGTTTCGTTATATCTGTACAACTTGGACGTTAGTTCTTTCATCCCCCCCCCCCCCCACACACACACACCGTTAATATAAGATTTCTCGAAAATGTTGCTCCATCTGTAAGCTACTCGCTACTCAGACAGGTTTTGAAATAGTTTCACTCTTACCTGATAAAGTAGAGAAGCACAACGCAAACACCCACAGAATCATCTTGGTATTTGTAATCCTCATTGGGGAAAGCTGGAAATCAACTGCCGGCGTGTGATTCTTTTCAGGGTGAGCTCTGCATCCAAAACGGTGACGCTGCGTCACGACGGTGCGCTTTTTTACGCATAACTCGTCGAAGCCTCCAATTCTCCCGTTCAGTTTGTAAAATCTCGTCGGTAACCAGCTGGTTTTAGGAGTTCACTCTACTGTCACTCTAAGCAGAGAGTGTAACTTTTGGTGAAGCTCAGCTTTCTCTGGGTGGGAAAGGAAGGAAGAGCGTCACCAGACAGCGGAGGACTGCTGGCGCTCCAGAACTCCCCGATCCACGATTAGTGTATATATGACTTCAAACTTTGTCACTTTTTGTTCCAATACAATGCTGAACGTTAAGCACTCGTCTAATTGCTTTTGCATACACTGAACATCATGTTTTAGAAGTAGAACAGCTGTTCTGTGCACGATGGATTTAGGATGAAACTTTTTTAGGTTTCATCAACAACAACAAAAACATGAAACATCAGCTATTTAGCATTTTAAAATATACACTGTTTGAGGAGTTATGAATGCATTTTATTAAAATATATTGACTTCTATACCCTGCAAAATATCTATACCCTCCCAAACATCTTCCAATGCGGACATTGTACCTAATTGCTGCCCTTGTGCAGATACCAAATACTTCGGCAGCCAAAATCACGTTTTGCCAAATGCAACAGCTTTGTTCTTTCACTTCAATGAGTAGCGCACAATCCCTGCAGCTTTTATGGCCAGTCAGTCTCTTTCCTTCACAATCATTCAGCCTCAGGAAATGATGAACAATATGCTTGTTGTGTCTATTCAGATCCCAACTTTTTAAAAGTGCTCTCACTTTGCTATGTCCATTTGGAAAAAAACTGAACACGCCTTTTCTAATTCTCTCCACAAAAACTGTCGGACTTGTGTGGTGTTTTTTTTCCCTTGCAACTTCAGACAACCTGACACAACTTCTTATTGTTTGAGATTTCCTGTTTTCAATTTCGGGAGCACACACAGGCTGTTTTAGACTGCAAGGAACATTCTATTGTATTACCCAAAAAAACAAAACAAAGGCTGCAATTTTATAAGCTTTGTAAAGTGTTGATACTTAATGGATAAATAAAACGATATCCAATGGTCAAAATACTATCCAGAATAAAGAGATGTGGTGTTGATTCAAGTTGGGGGGGGAATCAAAAGTTGAAATGGTTACACACAGGTTAAAACTATTTTGGCTACACATTACAGTGATTCCATTTGGGCCTTGTGGCAAACAAAAGGCCGTGAAGTTCACACTTGGCTGTGGGAGGCATGGTCCTGTTTTGCACAGAAATCAGAACTTCTTATTTCCTCTTATTTCCCCTGCATGTGCTTCAGAATAAGGAAGAGCAGTGATAGTGAAATGTCACGTGAACAGGCTCTTACTGCTGTGGAAGACAAACAGTAAAGTTTACAGTAGAGCAATGTGCGACAAAGTGTACCCTTAAACTAGTTGTGCACACCCTTGTGAGCCTTTTTTCATTCGTTTACTCTTCATATATTTAGTTTGCAGAGTCTTGCAAACTATGTCACTGCAGTTGAGAGAAACAACTGAGGAAGGCGTGCAGAAAGGAAGACGTTCAAGGACATAAAAAAGTTCCGTATTGCAGACACAGCTTGGTGGAGCCACTATAGGAAGCCAGAAGGGAAAAGACCAAAGGCTAGGTCAACACAGATGCCTCAGTGTGCAGTGTGTGTGTTTTGATATCTGTGCACAGATATGCTTTATATATCCATTTATGATGGAACACTGGAGTGAATCAACCCTCTATTGAATGCATATGCAGTGCAACTGCATGTGTGAACAGAATACTGTTTGTTTGTATATAAAAATGAAGGAAATGCAGTATGGTAAGCATGCAGAACTGCAGCCATTCATCTTTGCTCACCCAACACAAGCCATTGTATCCTCTAGTTTTTGTTGTTCCACAGTAATTATGAACTGTGGAACAACAAAGCCACTCGCTTAATGACACTACCAGACAAAGACATGGCTCAGTGGGTCTTCTGTCCAGGTTCAAAATAACAATATTACCAACAGCGCGACAAACAATAGCATGTCTTTGTGCACCGTTGTGTGCAGCAAGTAACAGAGAATGTGATGTTTCTTAACCATATATACTGTGCCGACTTGTAATTGTGTGTGAATCACTTAAAAAAATTAAAGAAAAGTGTGCAATGTTTGAACTGCTGTATCTAAAACTCATGTTATCGTGAGCTTTAATATTTACGTTATTTATTGTAGTTGGAGGGAAAATGGCGTCAAGTGGCAGCGCGCTACTCGACATCTCTTAGAGGTTTCTGACATCTTGTTGTGGTTGAGGTGGAGGAGGTGGTGATTGCGAGGCTGGGGGTGTCTGGAAGTGAAACCGGCAACAGAGGCGGGAGGTCTGAGAGACTTTGTGAGAAAGTTTGTATTAAATTCCCATTTCCCCTCATTGTGTGGCGAGCTGGCTTGGCTCCACACGCACTGATCCTACTGGGCCCTGGGAGCCTAAGCAAGAGTGTCACTCACACCTCTCAGGCCCCCTAAAACAACCCCCTTGATTCCTCCCCAACTGCAGTTACAAACCCCCCTGACCTTCATCTTACCATAAGCTGTGCTCTCTGATAAACATTCCTTAAGATCGTGGATGTTTAGAGTAATGTAAATCATGCATGATTAGGGTGTTTGTGTATATGTTGTCAGCAACAGGGTGATTCTGGGATTTGTGTGAAAATGATTGGTAGAATCTAAATACCTCCACTGAATCAAGTCGAATTTCCCCAAAGATAATGAGCTCCACGGGGCTGATAACTCTACGGCACTACTTCAGCGTAGGCTTTAGATGTGTTTACGCTCTCGTACAGATCATCTCTCAACAGTTTTTTTCTTAAAAGCAGGATTTCCAACACTTTGTGCTGACAACCTGAAAGGTTTACAAACTATTATCCCAGCTATATTTCACACTCACTTTAGAGAAAATGGGCAGCAAGCCAATCATGCTCCAGTGGAACTGAGAGGTGTTCAGCTTTCAACTTTAAAAAATAAATAAATACAGCCTTCACTTCACAGATCAGAGAATGCATAAAGAGTATTTATCATAAAGGTGACTGGAGCTAAATACAATTCCAATACTTCCTGCCGAAGCTGTCCACTCATATATGACAGCACACTCACAACAGGGAGAAGACAAATGCATACACATGCAGCGTGGACACACCATAGACACTGTGGTACAGTGTCTTATGGATATTTGATTTGTCACCCGCCTTTTGTTTTTGCATTTATTCGTTAGTTATTATTAATCCCTGGTTTTTTTCCACAGTGTGTCTTTTGTCCCATCTCGCTCATTGTCCCCTACTAGACACCGAAGATGGCCGCCTCTCCCTGAGCCTGCTTCTGCCGGAGGTTTCTTGCTGTTAAAAGAGAGTTTTTTCTTTCCTACTGTCACCAATTGCTTGCTCTTGATGAGATTTGCCTACAAATTAATGAAACTGAATTGACAATTAAATTGAATTTAATATGGATGACCCACAGAGTGTCACAGTTAGTTTTTGACTTTTTATTAACTCAGATTGAAGCAAACTCACTGATAACTCTGGTATCTTCAAAAAACACTTTGAGCTTTGTGACATGGTGTGTTATTCTCCTGGAAGCAGGCATCCAAAGGTGGGTGCTCTGTGCTCATGAAGGAATGGACACAATCAAACACAGTATTCAGGCAGACTGCAGCATTTACACAGAGCTCAGTTGGTACCATGCGGCCTTAAATGTGTCACTAAAATATCCTCCACCACCAGCAGCAGCCTAAAGCACTGATCCAAGGCAGGACGGAGCCATGCTTTCATGTTCTTCATGTCAAATTCTGACACTTGCATCCAAATATGGCAACATAAATTGAGACTCTTCAAACCAGGCAACATTTTTCAAATTCTTCTATTTTTGTGAGCTCATACAATCTGTAGTCTCAGTTTCCTGTTTTTAGTTGAGGGGAGCGGCAACCAGTGCGCTCTTCTGCTGCTGCTGCACATTTGCTTTGAGGTTTAATATGTTATGTATTCAGAGACGCTCTTCTGAATATTCTGATTTTATGTGTTTAAATGAGTCATTGTAGCCTTTCTAGACTTCTGGCATCCACAGACCATTTTAGCACAGAAAACTGCTGCTCACTGAATATTTTCTCTTTCTTGGACCATCTGTAAATCCTACAGATAACTGTGTTTGAATTTGCGGTAGATCATCAGTTTCTGAAATCCTCAGACCCATACCCATCTAACACCACCAACCCTGCCACACTAAGTCATTAACTGACCTTTCTTCCCCATTCTGATGTTCAGTTTGAACCTCAGCAGGTTATCTGGACCATTTCTACATGCCAAAGTTGCTACTGTGAGATTGGCTGATTGCTGTAAGGAGCAGTTGAACAGGTGTACAAAACAAAGCAGCCAGGGAGTGCAATCTGGTATTAGTGAAACATGTGCCACAAAGCTGAAAAATAAATAAACATTCTTCCAGTTTTCCCATGCACGTCTGCTTGTGAGGAAAAATAGCTTGTGTGTGCAGAGTATGCTTTATGTCACCCATGCCCATCATACCATTAACCTTGGTCAACTGTGGGTTGCATGAAGCTGTGACTCAGACCCTGGATCATCCCTGTTGTAAGTGACGATTTATTATTATTGACATAAATTCATGCTTTCAAAAGATCAGATTTTTAGTTTAAATCTGTTGTACGAGTCAGTAAAAAAGAAGCTATATCCAAAAATACCACAGATTAACTACTACATTTGTAATTCTTTAATATGTGAAGAAATGAAGAACTAAAGGTTTTTTTTGTTTAGTTTTTTGGCACGGACTTTAACTCAGCAGGGGTCAGAAAGTTGCTGCAACTGCTCAGCCACAAATTGACATACATTTTTCAGATATGTGTCTTTGTTTATTTCTCCAACACTTGCATCAAGGAGCAATCATGAATCCAAAAATGGTATCTGAACCGAAGATCTGATGCACAGTCAAAACATGCTGCAAATTGGTACCATTTGTGACTTTAGCGAAACACATGTGGTGCAAACACTTGAAACACAGAAACTCAAATCTGTTATTGCGTTCGCAGGAACACATCTGAAAGGTGCAGCTGTTAAATCTGGTTGTTAAAAAAAAGTGACTGGAGACATTTGTTCACCTCCTTGGAGCAAAGATGTGAAGACAGAAGTTCAGATCACAGCACATGAGATCTCGACTTTTGTCGCATGTCGTTTCCCTTTCCCTCT